CCCCCCCGCCACACCCAGTCTCAGCCACGCCCACCCCCGGGCCACACCCCCTTCCTTTGTACAGCCCGCCCCCTGCTCACCCCCGTGGCCACGCCCACCTCATGTTTCCGCCAGTCACAACACGGCCCCGCCCACCCCAGGCAACCCCTCCCCCGCAAAAAGCCCCGTCCCCCACCAAGCCCCGCCCCCGGCACCTCTGGGCACGGTGGGCTCCAGGGGGGTCTCCTCGGGGCCGGATTCCCCCGGCGGGCGCTTCTCCTCGTACGTGCGGTACGACCGGGACCGCCCCGGGCACTGCAGCCTGTGGCACCACCGTCACCCCCGCGCCCCCCGCGGGACGGGACCCACCACGGGACGGACCCACAACCCACCACGGGATGGGACCCACCACCATGGAACAGGACCCACCAACTACCCATGGGATGGGACCCACCACCACCCACAGAATGGGACCCACCACCATGGAACAGGACCCACCAACTACCCATGGGATGGGACCCACCACCCACCACGGGATGGGACCCACCACCATGGAACAGGACCCACCAACTACCCATGGGATGGGACCCACCACCACAGGATGAAAAAAAACCCACCAACCACCCACGGGACAGGACCCACCAGCCACACATGGGACGGGCACCACCATGGCCACCACCCTCAGGATGGGCACCACCACTACCACCAACCACCCACAGGATGGCCACCACCCCACCATGGGACGGTCACCACCACCCCCCAGGGGGTCGCGGACGGGGCCCCCCTACCCGTAGTCGTAGGCGGGGGGCAGCGGGTAGGGGATGCGGGAGCGGGGCATGAGGAAGAGGGTGCGCAGCAGGTGCCAGGCGCTGCAGGCCGCCATGAAGAGGAACATGGCTCGCAGGGACAGCCCACGCTCATACAGCACCTGGGGACGGGAGGGGACAGGGACAGGCTGCCACCGGGTCACACGGCCACCCCAGCCTGGGAACACGGCCCTGCTTAGGCCCCAGCTGTGTCCCCCGTGTGTCCCCACAAGTGGCTCCACCAGTGGTGTCCCAGCTGTGTCCCCAGCTCTGTCCCCAAGTATGTTCCCTGCTGCCACCCCAAGTGTGTCCCCAGCTCTGTCCCCAGCCCTCCCTGTGGTGCCTGTGCTGGGGACGGGCACCCGGGGACACCCAGCACTGCCCCCCGGTACCGCCATGTGTCCCCCCCAGCGCCCACCTTGATGATGAGGAAGATGGCGGAGGAGGAGTCGAAGGCGCCGTTGTAGAGGGTGATGATGATGGAGCGGTACTTCCCAAAGAGGTTGCCCACCTGGCAGGGAGAGACCCCCCCGCGCCGTCAGGGCCCCCCCAGCGCCATCAGGGCC